AAAATCCATTGTTTCTCAACCCTTTCACTCGGCTGAATTCAATGAAGAAAATACTTGTTCAAAAACCCCCACACCAAACATAATCTTAGAGGACAAAACACTAACGATTTTATTCAAGAAAAAACCCACTCAATTCTCAACCCAAATCTAAAATCAATCTTCAATTTGAACGTTATCACCACAACTCTGCAATTTAATCAACAAAAATTGTTATGTGTAATTGTTAATGAATACTATGATAGGATGAAGATGATGATAAGTTGTTGTATATCTTTCACTTTTTCTTGTTAACCCACAGTGATGAATTCCAATTTATATTTATACATTACCAAATAGTCAAGACCAAAAATATAGCAGAAAATAGAGTGAAAGAAGCGAGCGGTCGACTCATGCAGAACACCCACTTGATGCAAGCACACCAGAGCGTTGTAGGAAGACCTTTAAGGAAGAAATGTGTCGACCGCAACAAGACATGATTTGATGCAAACAAAAATAATTTTTCTCCCAGTGTGAGTCGACCTGAAGGGTCGATGCGAGCAGACCCGGGCATGATAGATTGATCTTCTTCAATTCACTAGTCAACCTAACTTTAGCTTGAGTCGATGCAAACAAAATTTTCTTCCCGGTGAGTCGACCAGAAGGGTCGACGCGAGCAAACCTGAGTTTGATGCAATGGCCTTCTTCAATCTATGAGTCAACCTAATTTTTGCATGAGTCGACACAAACAGTAAAAACACCCAAAAGGCTTGTTCTTTAGGATTTTCATTCCAACCATTCTATTAGCAAGTTTCTCCATAGAGCCAACTCAAATCAAGAGCATGTTCATGTTTTGACATCACTAAATCAAGTATAGAGGAACCTTGTCCTCAACGAGGTACCTATTGTTGATGAGGTACCTGTTCCTGATGAGATACATGTTTCTGATACAATACTTATTACTGAGGAGTTACATGTTGTTGAGGAGGTACCAGTTACATATGCATAGGTTGCTAATGAGGTGATAGCTCCCACATATCATATTGCTAGGATGGTACTCCTATTGGTAATGATACATATGTTACGGCCAATGCTTCTAAAGAGGCATTTGTTCATGTAACACCCTTCTAAACCCCAAGGACTATTCGTGATTATTATAATAAATAAACTAGAGTATATCACCAAACAAGGGTGTCACATCTTCATATAAAACTTCACAATCATATATCATGCTTCGTAACACGGGTTTTTAAAATCTTTAACAAGATAGAATCAACATTTAGTTCTTCGAATCATGGCAGCGGAAATCATAGTTCAAAACACTTCATTATATTACTTCATAAAAATTGGTCATACTTCATAACTCATACTTATAAATCAAAACATCTTTAGTACCACGTAGGGTGACTCAACATCTTAAAATAAAACAAAGAACATAAGTTCCAATCATTCGATCCTAACTCCAATGTTACATATCAGAGCAAGACTCTCTTTATTCAACAAAAGCAAATAAACACACTCTAAAGCTATCCTCTAATGCTTCTACAAACTATTATCGATCACCTCCGTGTTACCCACGTGGAGGCAACATTCAAACATAAAGGGTGAGTAAATCATAATCATTATATAAGACATAAGGAATATTCATAGTAAATATGTACTTAAGCCAGGCATTACACATCATCATATCATCATGCTATACTCACACCTTCGCCACTTCATCAATACATGAACACATATCATCATACACAATGTATCATCAAGCATCACAAATAAATCATTATGAAATGTCACATAGAATGTAATGTAACGTCATAGGCTCATGCATGTGATACCAAAACTTCACTAATGACTCAACCATCATTATCTCCAAAGATCCACACCATAGGATTGATTCTCGATTGGAACTAGAGCACTTCACCGTTGCACCCAATCCACACTATGGGATTGTTTCCTTCACTGGACAATTTTCCTATCGTCTTAACTTGACCGAAGTCCTAGCTTCACTAGACCGAATTCCTAGAATATTCCATGAATGCAATGATGCGTAACAACATATTTAATACGACCACGAATAGTCAACACACATCACCATTCATGATTCATCATAAACATCATTGTTAGATCATATTAATCAACACAACATCATAACATCATCATTGTAATCAATACAACACCATAACATCATCATAGTAATCAACACAACACCATAACATCATCATAGTAATCAACACAACACCATAACACCATCATAAACAAAACATAATTGCGATTTAACAAGGGGAACCAAATTCTATTCTAACGTAGGTCTCAGATACACTCCTTAAGTCTCATTTTACTCCACATAATTAAAGTGTGTTGCGTTAGCTATCCAACACTCTAAATGACACCTCAATTCGAGCTCTAGAACTAAAGTTATGACCATTATAAGATTGTCCGACATATCCAACCAAATTTGTCATCCGTTGCCTTACGACACACCCCCGTTGCCTAGCAACGCACCCTTCACATCTGTTTCGCCCAGTGACGCTAGAAGCGACACACTCCAGAAGCGTTATCCTTTTTCCACCTTTTCCATTGCCTCGTCCTCACCTGGCGATGACAAAAAATGCATGTGTCGCTCGGCGACACTACTTTCATCGTTCGGTGATGATGCACGAACGGGATTTTCCTATTGGGATTTATGCACTACACCAGTCCAAATCTTCTGCGATTTCATCACACTACAGGTCCTAAAACACAATCTAATCAAATGGCTTCATCATCTATCAACAACCTATAAATCTATACTCATTATACATTAATTACAAGTCATTATCCATCACCAATTCATCAATTTCTCATCAAACAATACCAAATCACCATCTACCAAAACCTAAGGCAATCTATCAATCTCTAAACCTTAAATCAAATATAAAAATGATAAAATTCCACTTACCTTAAGATTATTGCTAGAGATCAATTCCTCTTCGTGCTCTATCGAGATTGCTATGCTCGTCTTGCCTCTTTATGCCCTAACTCTCTTTTCTCCACAACGTTCTTCCAAATTCTATTGTACATAATGTGCATGTAAAATCTCAAACCTTCTCCTTATACTAAACTTGCCCTCTTAGACCACTAATAATGAACTTCCTATCATGCCCTCCCTTATCCTTCACTAATGACCACAATACCCTTATTCTCTCTACATCACATATTATTCTATTTATTTAAATCCAAATAATTCTAAATAATCACTATTAAATCTAAATAATTATAAACTAATTATTTAAGTTCTAAACCCTCTTATTATCCCACCCTACACCATACAATTCATCATCTGAAATATCTTATTCATCAAGTCATCGTTATTGCATCACAAATCCATCACAAATACACATCATATACTGTCATAGAGACTAACACAAAGTACCAAAACATCATATATACCAAACACTTCATATAGAATCATATATTTACGCTAAATTAATTAAATAAATAATTAATCTAGAATTCAGGGTGTTATAGTTCACACTGGTGAAACGTTCCCTGGAGGACTTAGTGACCGATTAGTGCTCAGGAAATATGTTGATCATGTCGCATACAAATTATGGCAGAGAGTGGTATATATATTTTATAGCTAACTTTAATTTATATATTATTGTTCTGTGATGTGTTGAAAGTTTACTCATAATTTTTTAACTTTGTTTGTTACATGACCGTCAACCACTGAAGGTGACATCCCACTCAGTCTGATGCCTGGGAAATTCAGCTGTATTGTTGTTGATTTTGGAATTCACCGATTACTCACTGACCATGCTTGACGCTTTACTTCTATATACTTTTGTTGAGCAATGGCACAAGGAGACATTTTCCTTTCATCTTTCATTTAGGGAGATGAATATCACTTTGGATGATTTCTCCTCATTGTTCCATCTCCCCATCGTCAGTAGATTCTTTATTGCTCCTGTTATTAACCAGACGACAATATTGTTGACAATTGTACATGATTTGTAAGTCATTGAAGAGGTCGTGCTAGAAGAGTTTGAATTTAACAGGGGAACTCACATGCTACATCTAGTAGCATATACTCTCTTTGTGGATAAGTCTCATGTTTATCTTGATGCTTGGTACTTATGGATGTTTAGTAGCCTTGAGACTAGAAGTTGGGCTTGGGGGTGCACCCCATTGACCATTTCATATTCAGCAATTGGAGTTACGACTGTCTTTGAGACCAAACAATTTACTGGTTATTTAATCTATTTCAGGTATACTAGTTGTAACATGTTTAGTTCTTATTTAGTGTTTAGTTCTTATTTGTTATTCGTGACATTTCTTAATTATTATTTATTATATCTGTCTTCTGTTATCATTGTTGGATATATGAAAAATTATAACTTTACCCAGATAAAGAAGTGTATTAATAAAATTTGAAAATTTTAGGTGTCACTTGAATGAAAAGTTAAATTTAATTAGTTAGTAGAAATTCATTTAATCAATTACAATAATGAGTATAATTTAGTATAACTTGATTTTGTTTGGAAGGATAGATTAAAGAGTTTAATAGTATCCTCCAAATTAGGTAGATAGTTGATTTAGGACAAATAGGATCCGTTTGAAAAAGAGAAAAGAAATCTTTTAAGCTGAAATTTACCTTATGCTCATATATTTAAAAAAAATATTACTTGTTTGATAATTGTTATTTTCTCACTAATTTTGATAATATGATTTTATATATGCACTCAAATCAAAACTATATATTACTTGAAAGAAATGGAATTCATACATACTCCAATAGAGACATAAAAGAAAATGAAAATTACTTACCATATCATGGTAACTTACAACATTTGAATGCCTCAAAATTTAGGCTAACAAATCATGAACGTAGGGGAAAAAATTCAATCAAACTTATGCTTGTTCTCCATATAAAATTACAAATGGTATAATATTATACTCAATACAAAAAATATAATAAAATAGATTATCATCAAAAACTGTTTTAGAATGTTGAGCTTATTCAGATTCATGAATATTCCTCTTCTCTATCTCCTCAATGTATGCATAATATACTCAGCATAGAGATCCCTGCATCAAATCAGAGATAACATAACATTGAGTTTATATTTTGCATATTATAGACTATGCAATATTTTAGTTACATAATTCATAAATTATTTCTCTAAAATTTAATATATAAATTAATTTCTCTATGTATACTTACATTGAGTGTTGGATGGCTTCAACAGCAGTGGATGGTGGCAAAAACTCATTAACTGCAACCTCCTTATTCTCATTCTTCTTATCTGAACAATTTGTTAAAGAAACACAATTTTTTTTGAAAGTTTTAAAATAATTATCGCGTATTCGCTTTTAATATAGAAAATTGCATGAAAATCAACATTTTTTTTTGTTGAAATGGGATTAGAAAGGATACAGTCTTCGAAGAAGCGACGAATCTCCATCAGGCGATGAGGTTGAAGTTCTTTGTAGTCAGTATAGTGCTTATACTCAGGATCATCAGCGCATACCGCAATGATTTTGTCGTCCTTCTCTCCCTGTGAAAGCATAATAGACTTGTTTGTTACGCAAACTCGATGAATAAAATCGTGAATCGATATATTTTCTAGAAGTCGAAGAAATACCTGATCAATCATTGGCATTAGTCCGATGGCCCTAGCTCGCAGGAAACAACCAGGAATAACAGGCTCCTGCCACATGATTAATTCAAAAACTTTACTGAGTAAATTGCTATGAATGATTCTTGTGCAAGTTAGATGAATTTGATAAGGTAAGAGTTTACCTGCATGAGAACCAAGACATCGAGTGGATCGTTGTCTTCGCATAGAGTTCGTGGGATAAAACCGTAGTTATGAGGATAAACAACGGACGAATACAGAATCCGATCAACCTGAGTATTTTGATGAATTAAAGTGAAAATTCCAAGTTAATGTTTTGTTCATTTCAAATATTAAATTGAAAGCAATAGGTTCGTTCATACCTTAATTAATCCAGTCTTTTTGTCAAGTTCATATTTGACCTTACTTCCCTTAGTGATCTCTACAACCTAAAGAAACAACATAATACACTGAAAATAAAATGCACAGCTTGAAATCTGGACTGTTTGATCTCGGTCTAACAATTACTAATATGCCGACTGTATGAATGTGAAAGATTGTTTTTCCAAGTCAATTCGAATTTGGTAAAATATTTTAGATGGAGTGTTGGGCATGTCTGCCTTGTTTAGACCCTCTCTGCAAAAGTTAGGAAAAAAACAAAATAGGACAGACATAGTTGAGAGTGTGGGCGTAAAGGCTTTGGTCCGTCCCAAAAAAAATAACGGTTTGGCAAACTCGCAGAGACTATAGCTCTAAAGTTTAAAAATTGTAAAATTTTATATTAATGTACGCGTTTGTAAAAACCTAAAAAATGTTACTCCAGAACGGATATATTAAAGGGTGCTGATCTAAAATTTTACTCCGCTCTGTGAAAAAATTATAGGCAAAACAGATATGCCCGACAAGACGAACTGTGCATGTTTTGCCACAAGTATATTAAAATGCAGATCAAAGTTGTCAACTTACACAATTGAAAATATGTGGTGCTCCAGGTCCTACACATGAAAATTAAGATCATTAGTAGATTCTTTATTCATCAAACTTTAAATTGAATGTCAATAAACTAATTAGATTAAATTGATTGTAAGTTAACAACAATACCAATTTCAAGATCATGCCAAGGGTGTGCAGCAACGGATCTCTTTGACAAAGATGAAAGAATCCTTTCATTCAAACGAGGAGTTGGACGGGTTTTTGGAACTTCTTCACCGTTCTCTTCACTCATCTTTGGAAACAAAATAACAAAAGGTAACAACTTGATATACATGATTGGAAACAAAATTAACAAATAACAAAAAAACTAACCTTGAAGAACAGCAAAATGAAATAGTATTGAGAAAAGGTGTAAAGGGTAATGTGGAATTGATGATCCGAAGAAGTGTAATGGTTTGTGTTTGTGATGTTTATATCATTATTTATAGAAGTCAAGGAAATAATAGAGTCAGTCAAATTTTCTATGAGACAAACTAGCTTACAACACCACATGTTCATTGGAAGTTTCAAAAGGCAAATTTTAACCAATGAAATAAATAATACTAATTTAGAGTTAATTATTAGTATTTCCAAAAAAAGGTTGGGACTCATGCTAAATTACTTCTTCATTTTGTAAAACTCTTGTTTTTTACTACTCCTTCATTCTTAAATTTGGTGGATTTTTTTTGTCGAGTATTTCACATTTTTGTACTAAATATTAAAGTAAACTTCATGTAATCCTTGATCACAAATAAACACGAATACTGTATTATTGTTTATTTTCCTACAAAATGCTAATGGTTTACTTTGTAAACTGTTTATATAACACTTTTTTTTACAAGCACAAGTTTAAGTGACTGAGGGACTCAGACTCGCGAGAGGCACACCAAATTTCAATGTTTAGAAAGTAGTATTTCTTTGATTTGTTTTGGAATTTTTATTGGATTAGAGTCATATCATAATTCATTTGGATTTATATTTGTTGGAATAAAGGGTCACTGCTAAAAAAAATGACATTTGAGAAAAAGACTTTACATCAGGTATTAAAATATATGATGTAAAAATTAAAATTAAAAAGATTTTACATCAGGTATTTATTTGCAATGATATAAAAAATATTTTAAAAAAAATTTTCGCTGGCTATTACATTGGTCAAAGTAATAAACCGATGTAAAAGATTTTATAAAAAAAAACACGGTGGCAGTATTGTAAATAAATAACTAGGTGGCAAATTGGAGGGGAAAAAAAATCAGAAAATCCTTACATCGGACCTTCCTATCCACCGATGTTAAAAATTAGGTGGCAGATTGGTAAATAAAAAACCAGAAAACCCTTACATCGGGCCTTGCGTTCCACCGATGTAAAAAGTCAAAAAATTCTTATATCGGTCATTGACTTCCACCGATGTAAAAAACAATCATTACATCAGTCAATAACTTCCACCGGTGTAAAAAGTAGAACCGAAATAACTATTACATCGGTTATTTGAATCCACAGATGTAAAAAGTGTAATATATATTTATGAAATAAGCCATGCTGCTGTTCATTTAGTTATTGACTCTTCAAAACATAATCCCACGAACGAGATTTGTACCCACCGCCCGCCAACACCGCCCGTTCTCTCCGCCCACCGCTCCGTCTCCGTCTCCGTCCGTCTACGAACGCCCTTCGTCCCTCTCCGTCACCGTCTGTCTCTATCTGTCATCTCCGTCGCCATTTCCCTCCGTTCACGAGACGGTTCCGATAAGAAACCCCCTCCGCCTTTTTCAAAACCTCCTCCGCCATCGAACTACAATTCCGGTAAGAAATTTTCTATTTTGTTCAACTTCATTGTATATCTATGGATTTCCAAGAGAGAGATATATACAAAAATGTTTTTAAGATATTCTTCTTGTTTTGCTTGCTACTGAGATACATTATAAAATAATCGGAAGTACATATAAAACCAATTAGAAGATTATACTAGATACTAACTCAGTGACTTGGTGAATCCATTCCTTTGTTCATATCTGTTTTTTAATTACTAAACAGTTTATTATTCTTAGAGAGTTTATTAAGTCTAATTAGTTATAAATAGTATATATTTTGTATAGAGTTAAGAATATAGTACATATTGTGTATATGTCATTCTTTTTCATTAGAGAAATTGTCTCCTTAGAAACCTTCGAATAAAACGTTAATGGTCCTCTCAGAAACACACAGTTTATCTCTAACCTATCAAACTTAATAGAGTTATCACCTTGCCATTGAAATTTGATTCTATTTTTCTTTCTCCGCGAAGCAGCGTAACTTGCGATCTCAGAATCTCCGTGAAGTAGCGCAGCCGCGGGCACACCCTTCGTCAGACCTTCCTCCATGTGAACATAGTTATGGATCGTAGTTGGATGAGAGCTAATCGATTAAGTGATGAGTAGGAAAATATAGTGATGGAATTTCTACAGTTTGTTGAAAGTAATGCTGAAAAAAGTCTTCCTGCACTTTTTCTCTGTCCATGTGTTCGTTGTGCAAATAAAGAACCAAAACACAGTAAGAAAGAAATCATGAATCATCTAATTTGTGTAGGGATTTGTCAAAGTTATACATAATGGATATGGAACGGTGAAGTAGTAGCAAAGTCAAATGTGTCTCAAAGAGATGATGTTAGTGTAGAAATAGATGATCGTCTAGAAGATATGATGTGTGATATTGGACAAGATTCGTTTAAGAGGGCACATGTGTATGATACTCTATGCAGTGACAAGAATAAACCATTGTAGAATTCCATTTCAGAATTATATAGATTTATGGACCCTGCTAGGTGTATTTATAATGATAATGGAGCAAAATCTCAAGAGGATGTTAAAAATTACGTACTAGAAAAGTTACGTAATGAAAACAGAGTGTGCCACTTACTACCATTAATTCATGGGTAAGAATTTTTATGAAATTGTGTTTTATATTATTTAATTTTGATAACATATATATTTTATGTGACTTTTCTGTTTCCACACACACGTACAGGAGACATTGGCAATTAATAGTCATGTGTCCAAGAGACAATTTAGTTGTTGTATTTTGTTCACTTCATCGGGAAATTGACCAGAACACGAAGAAAATTATTACAGAGTAAGTTTATCTTTCATGTGACTTTCATTGGCAATTAATAGTTATATGATAATTCATTGGCAAGTAAATTTAGTTATGTGATGTTTATCTTTCTGTATTAGTTCTTTTGGGATTCATCAAATGGCAAATGGAAATAGAAAAAAGGCTACACGGCTTCATCCCAATGTAAGTGTGATGTAAATTGTAATTCTATAGTTAAATTTATGATAAATATTCACTAATTATGTCATTCAATTGTAGACAAGGCAACAACATAACTCTAATGATTGTGGGTACTATGTGATGAAAAATATGTTGGATATTGTCTCTGCCAATATAACCGAGAATTAGATGCAGGTAATAAAAATAACTTTACGTTGTTATTTATTTTTTGTTTTGCAACTTAATATGAATTTTTAAATAATAACTTTATATTGTTATATTTATGTATTATAGGTATTTGATGACCCAACAGCATTAACACAAGATGATTTGTATGATTTGCGACTCCGTTGGGCAAAATGTTTCTTTGAGTTATATAAAAATTAAGTTTTATCTGGTGAGTTTTATAGAATTGTCTAAGTTGTGGTTTTTTCACATAATTGTTATTATTGAGTTTTTTCACATTACATGTAGTTGTTGCACATGTATTGAGTTTTTTGATATTTTTTGTTGATGTTAATTGTTATTATTTATTGTCAGGAAATGTGATTTTGGTGTTGTCTACCGAAGCTATAACTCATCTACTTGTGGATTTTATATTGGTAATTCAAGTTTGGAAAAAGACTTATAAATAGTTGAATATTTTTGTATGTTTTGTGAAGAATATACATTTGTAAGTTTGTTGTGAGTTTGTTTGTTGTGATACAATTCAAGTTTGCAATACAATTGTTCATTTTGTAAGTTTGTTGTGAAAAATATGAAAATATCGATCTAGATGTGGTCTATGCGATGTTGGAAAGCTATGACATATATATATATATATATATATATATATATATATATATATATATATATATATATATATATATATATATATATATATATATATATATATATATATATATATATATATATATATATATATATATATATATATATATATATATATATATATATATATATATATATATATCGACCTAAATTTAGTTTGTATGATATTGGAAAAATATGAAAAAATGGGTACCAATTTTAATTTTATAGGGAATCATCCAGAAAATAAATAATTTATTTTAAAAAAATTGCTTACATTTTACATCAGGCATTAATAGCAACCGATGTAAAAACTATCTACACTGACTCTTTTATATCAGGCATTCATCCCAACCAATGTAAAAAGGGTGTATTTTACATCGGTCCCAAGTTAGACCAATCTAAAATGTTGCGTCAATTTTTTTTAAAAATAATTTTATAATTATTTTTTAAATCAGGCTTAGCTTATAACCGATGTGTTAACTGTCTTTTTCACATCGGACCTATAACCGATGTAAAAAGTTCCTGATTTACTATATCGCCTGGCTTTACATCGGACCAAGAACCGATGTAAAAAGTCATTTTCGCCCGATGTAAAAAGTCATTTCTGCACTAGTGAGTTTTCAAGAAAAATAATTAATCAAAGAGAAGAAGAAGAAGAAGAAGAAAAGAGAGACATAAATATTGAAAGTTTGTTACAATTCCAATTGAACCGTAAACGTGAACTGTGAATTCATTTTGTGTCTAAAATTACAAACTATCAAGCTCTTTATATAGACATACAATGTCCAGGTCCAAATCGACTATATACAAGCTATAGTCCAAAACTTTTACATTTCGACATATTGGAATAGTTGTTGTATTCGACTCTATCGAATACAACTTACAGCCTATTTAACTAATTAATTCGACATACATCATGTATATTTCGACAATGTGACTATACAAGAATTATACTTTCTAACACCCCCCTAATTCATGTTCTCGAGACTTCTCATCCTGATGCTTCTCTTTAACTCGTCGAATATGACTTTCTTCAAAGGTTTAATAAATATGTGAGCTAGTTGCATTTCTGTCTTGCAATGCTTTATCTTCAACTTTCCTTTATTAACTTGATCCCTCAGAAAATGATATCTAATTTATATGTGCTTACTTCGACCATGACGCACTGGATGATTCGCCATGTCAATAAATGACTTGTTATCGACAAAGAACTTGATCTTCTTAGGTTCCATTATCTTGAGTTCCTCAAGTAACATTTTGATCCATGATGTTTGGCATGCAGCATATGATGCAGCCACATGTTCTGCTTCGCATGATGACAAAACCACAATGTTTTTTTCCTTGAACTCCAAGAGATTGGAGCACCTTCGATCATGAAAATATAGCTTACTGTGTTTTTCTTTTCGTCTTAATCTCCATTGAAATCTGAGTCAGTGTATCAATGAACTTCGACATTTGTG